ATGGATATCTTTTAACATAAGGATACATGATGTACTGTATACACATGTACAGTGCCTTGAAAAAAGTATTCATACCCCTTAAATTTTCCACATTTTGTCAGGTTACAACCAAAAACGTATTTTATTGGGATTTTATGTGATAGACCAACACAAAGTGGCACATAATTGTGAAGTGGAAGGAAAATGGTAAATGGTTTTCAAAATGTTTACAAATAAATATCTGAAAAGTGTGGCATGCATTTGTAGTCGGCCCCCTTTACTCTGATACCCCTAAGTAAAATCTAGTGGAACTGATTGCCTTCAGAAGTCACCTAATTAGTAAATAGAGTTCACTTCTCAGAATAAATACAGCCATTCTGTGAAGCCCTTAGGGGTTTGTTAGAGAACATTAGTGAACAAACAGCATCATGAAGGCCAAGGAACACACCAGACAGGTCAGGAATAAAGTTGTAGAGAAGTTTAAAGCAAGGTTAGGTTATCAAAAATATCCAAAGCTTTGAACATCTCATGGAGCACTGTATCCATCATCTGAAAATGGAAAGAGCATGGCACAACTGCAAACCTACCAAGACAGGACTGTCCACCTAAACTGACAGGCCGGGCAAGGAGAGCATTCATCAGAGAAGCAGCCAAGAGGCCCATGGTAACTCTGGAAGAGCTGCAGACATCCACAACTCAGGTGGGAGAATCTGTTAGTCGTGCACTCCACAAATCTGGCCTTTAACAAATAGCTCAGTCAAAGTCCAGACCTAAACCCAAGTGAGAATCTGTAGCAAGACTTGAAAATTGCTGTTCACAGACACTCTCCATCCAATCTGACAGAGCTTGAGCTATTTTGCAAAGAAGAATGGGCAAAAATTTCACTCTGTAGATGTGTAAATCTGATAGAGACATACCAAAAATCAATTGCAGCTGTAATTTTCAGCAAAAGGTGGTTCTACAAAGTATTGACTCAGGGGCTGAATACAAATGCATGCCGCACTTTTCAGATATTTATTTGTAAACAATTTAAAAAAACATTTATTATTTCCCTTCCACTTCACAATTATGTGCCACTTTGTGTTGGTCTATCACATAAAATCCCAATAAAATATATTTACGTTTTTGGTTGTAACATGACAAATGTGGAAAATTTCAAGGGGTATGAATTCTTATTCAAGGCACTGTATACAGTCCCAGTTGTAGGTTACACTGCAGATGAGCCTTGACTGGATAAATCTGGGTGCAAGGTAGTATAGTTGTGTGCATCATGTAGAAATGGCAATATACACAAAAGTGAAAGTGTTTTGCCCCCTTCCTGATTATTTTTTTTTTTTTTTGCATATTTGTCACACTTAAATGATTCAGATCATCGATAAACTTTAATATTGCAGTTTTTAAATAATGATTTCATTTATTAAGTGAAAAAAGCTGTCCAAACCTGCCTGGCCCTGTGTGAAAAATTAATCGAGCCCCCCCTCCCCAGCTTGCTAAATCATGAATGAACTGTGATTAACCACATATTTTAGAAAGCAGAGTGAGAGTCTCATTATCCATAAATAGAGAAAACTTGGAACAGTGGTGAACCTTCCCAGGAGTGTCTGGCCTACCAAAATTACTCCAAGAGCATGATGACGACTCATCCAGGAGGTCATAAAAGAACGCAGAACAACATCTAAAGGATTGCAGGCCTCACTTGGTTCAGTTAAGGTCAGTGTTCATGATTCAACAATAGGAAAAAATTTGGGCAAAAATGACATCCATGGGAGAGTTCCAAGGCGAAAGCCACTGCTGACCAAAAAGAACACCAAAACTTGTCTCACATTTTCCAAATAACATCCCCAGGATTTTTGAGCAAATATTCTGTGGACTAATGAGACAAAAGTTGAAATTTTTGGAAGGTGTGTGTCCTGTTACATCTGGCATAAAACTAACAGCATTTCATAAAAAGAACATCCTACCAACAAACGTGGTGGTAGTGTGATGGTCTGAGGCTGCTTTGCAGCTGCAGGACCTGGACAACTTACCATAATAAATGGAACCATGAATTCTGTGGTCTACCAGAAAATCCTGAAGGAGAATGTCTGGCCATCAGTTCGTGACCTCAAGCTCAAACGCACTTGGGTTATGCATCAGCACAATGATCTGAAACACAAAAACAGCAACAGGACAGTGATCTGAAACGCACTTCTGAATGGCTCAAAAAACAAAATTAAGGTTTTGGAGTGGACTCGTCAAAGTCTGGACTTAAATCTAATTGAGATGATGTGGCATGACCTTAAACCGGCCGTTCATGTTTGAAAACCCTCCAAGGTGGCTGAAGTAAAACAGTTCTGCAAAGAAGAATGGATCAAAATTCCTCCACAGCAATGTGAAAGACTTATTGCCAGTTATCGCAAATGCTTCAGTACAGTTGTTGACACCAAGGGTGGAACAACCAGTTATTAGGTTTACGAGGCTATTACTTTTTGACATGGGGCCAGGCGTGTCTGGACAGCTTTTTTCTCTTAATAAATGAAATCCTAACTTAAAAACTTATATAACTGCAGTGCTAATAAATCAGCAAAAATATCCCCACCATAAAAGCATAAACCAGGAAACATGGACAAATAAATTACATAAGTCCACATACAGGCTATTGAGTCCATAGATCGTGGTGCTCATAAGAAAAAAAATGAAAGATAGTGGTATACTCCACCGTTACCCCAATCGTGCAGTCTCTTTCCGGATAGATTTGACCACAAAAATGGTCGAATAGCGCAGCTTTAAACACTGAGCAAGAGCCAACAATCGATTCACCATGAGTACAACCTCCTCCAAAATTGATCAGCCTCAACTTTTAGCTGGAGATACCAATGCTCCTGGACAAACCAGCTGGCAGCCAACTAGGAAAATGCCTCTACATGTCAGATTGGCTGACCCTCTCTTTCCACTTAGCTCATAAGACAAATACCTGCTGCCCTGGAGCCGCCGCCGCCTCCCGCCATTGTTGTGGTCAAATTTATCCGGTAAGAGACTGCACGATTGGGGTGAAGGTGGAAGATACCACTATCTGTCATTTTTTTTGTCTTATGAGCACCACTGCCTACGGACTTGGTAGCCTGTACATGGACTTATGTAATTTATTTGTCCATGTTTGCAGGTTTATGCTTTCCATATACTGTATTTATAGTGGAGATATTGTTGCTGATTTATTAGCATTACACTTCAAATTTTATATATATATATATATATATATATATATATATATATATATATATTTGTGATGGGTTGATTCACAAGTTAGCCTGCAGTTTCTTTTTTGTGTACTCTTACCTCCTTACTGCAATGCTGTTCCTGATCCCTTTCACATGTGTGTTTGTCTGTGCTCACCTATGGGCATCATCTGCTGTTCTGAGTTTTATTTTCTTCCCTTCCATCACTTCCAGGCCTGCCTCCTTGTTTGCCTGCCTATATAAGACATGCTCAGACTAGGCTACTTTGCCTGAGCAACTTCCTAGTTGTTTGAGCTCCTGTGTGTTGCTATCTCCTGTATCCTACATTGACTACTTGTGTACCGACCCCGGCTTCGTTCTCTGACTGTGCTTGTTTTCCGCCCGTCCTGACGTCGGCTACTCTATTGGATTTCTGTTTGTCTCCTCCCATTGTACTCTGCTCTCGCTAGCAGTCTCCTCAGCTGGGCGTACCTGGGGGCTGCGACCTGGTCCCAGCTTGCTGCAAGTCCATCCCCACCATCAGGGGCTCTGGTGAAGAAGCAGGCTGGGGCTTAGACTCCACGCCCTGGGGAACCCCAAGTTGACTATCTACAAGGGCTCACTACCACAGGTGCTGACAGGTTTAGCCTGCCTAATGTGCTAGCTGCTTAACATTTGGTTTTTCTGTTCTGTGATTGTCCTTTATGAGCTTAAGTGCAAGTAGTTGATCTAAATTGAGATCATTTATAAATTGCATTTTGTATTTACTCAAGTTATCTTTGTGTAATATTAAACTGTGTTTGGTGATCTGAATCATTTAAGTGTGACAAATATGCAAAAAAAAAATCAGGAAGGGGCAAATACTTTTTCACAGCACTGTATTTGTCAATGTGAACATATCCTTTCATATTTGTATGGCCAGCCTCCACTCATAGGCAAAGGAAACCTCACATCAGTAACCAGTGGAAGGAAGAGACATTTGCCCTATGTGAATGATATACAGATGACTAGATGTACCTGCCTCTTTGATAGCCAGAGAAAAAATGCTTAGTGGAGAAACTATATAAAGCATTTAATCCATCCAAAACTGACATATTGGGGTTTATTTACTAAAGCTGGAGAGTCCAAAATCAGACTCCCTTCTGCATAGAAACCAATCAGCTTCTAACCTCAGCTTGTTCAATGAAGCTTTGGCAATGAAACCTGGAAGCTGATTGGTTTCTATGCAGAAGGGAGTCTGATTTTGGACTCTCCAGCTTTAGTAAATAAACCCCATTTAGTCAGCAGTTCAGATTCTTTTAGAAATCCAGAAGCATTATCCCTGCCGAGCGTGCTATACAATGTAGTCATTACGAGGGGGGGTTTGCTGTCCATGTCATTTTCCCTTCTAGTACATCAGAAAGAATGCAGCAAGAGTAGTGACACTCAGCAGTGTGGTGGGAGGGAACTCCAGAAGAGGAAATATCACTGGGATCCTCAACACGTTAGAAATAGCAGATGATACATACAGTACCAACAACTTTCCACAAATGGCCTCTAGACTAGACCAGACCAACCTGGAGAACTTTCTACAGCTTCTATTGTAATCTGTTTCTGACATCTTGGGAATGTTTCTTTGGTTGCATGGCTGTCTACCAATGCTTATATGTTTGCACTGCCCTTTTGGCTTATACAATGAAAGCGCAATCATTCTATCAATTGCTAATGCCTGTCATTTTTTTCTGCTGTTAATTTTGAATTGATTCATAACACCAATGATCAATTTTTTATATTTTCTCCCCTTTCTGTCTGACTTGGTTGGAATCCCCTGCTTCTGGATGTCTACAGGTGAACCTAGTATCTTCACTAGTCTGCCTCTGGGCTTTTATATAGTGAGTAGCATGGTATTGTTAATTGGAGCAAAGTATATAACAGGTTAGTTTTTATTCTGTTATTTGGATCCCAATATTAACTAACTGTTGGGTTTATTTGTTAAGGTGGCATAGAGATGTTGTGCAGAGTGCATCTGTAGCAACCAATCGAAAATAATCTCTTAAGTTATCGGAGTCTACTAAAATCTTGTATTTTACTTTGCACATGCTTGTTGTGCTGTTTTATTGAATAAACCAGTATGCGTTTATCCATCATCAACATGTTCTTTTGCTGGATTTTTTAACTCAAAATTCCAGGTTTATGACATTGAAATTTGCTGTACCTGTGTATATTTTGGCAGCTTTCACATTTAGGAACTTGAAACACAACACAGTTACCACATGAGGGTGCCATAAGCTCGTGTATGGTTATGAAAGGATATCATTAAGCCTTGCATTCCATTGTGCATAGATATAATTAAGTTCTTCCACTAGTAAGGTACTGGGTTATAGCTATAATTAAGTTTACCAGTTGTCCTTCACATTCAATTTACTTCAGATATAAAAGACAGGTTCTTTGTAATTAGTGAAAGGGAAACATGTGTATTAATTACTACACCTTTTATAAAGTGTTAGGACTGATTATTGCTAATCAAGCTTAACCTAAAATATTTTCTGAGCAGAAATGATCCTTTTGGGACACAAATTTAGATACAAAGTTGAATGAGATGATAAAGTAAACTCTATTGCCCAAGAATAGATATCTGAAATGAGGCTTGGTTGCTGAACTACTGCTACATTAATGGATTTATAGGATGCACATAATTGTGTTCTGCATATGGAGATTAAAGCTGAAGTCCAGGAAAATACATATACAGTCATGGCCGAAATTGTTGGCACCCTTGATATTTTTCCTGAAAATCAAGTATTTCACACAAAAAAGGTATTGCATTAACACATGTTTTGCTATACACATGTTTATTCCCTTTGTATGTATTGGAACAAATATAAAACAGAGGCAGAAAAGCAAATATGACATAATGTCACACAAAACCCCAAAAATGGGCTGGACAAAAGTATTGGCACCCTTAACTTAATATTTGGTTGCACACCCTTTGGAAAACATAACTGAAATCAGTCGCTTCCTATAACCATCAATAAGCTTCTGACACCTCTCACCCGGAATTTTGGACCACTCTTCCTTTGCAAACAGCTCCAGGTCTCTCTTATTGGAAGGACACCTTTTCCCAACAGCAATTTTAAGATCTCTCCACAGGTGTTCAATGGGATTTAGATCTGGGCTCATTGCTGGCCACTTCAGAACTCTCCAGCGCTTCTTTGCCATCCATTTCTGAGTGCTTTTTGACGTATGTTTGGGGTCATTGTCCTGCTGGAAGACCCAGGATCTTGGACGCAAACCCAGCTTTCTGACACTGGGCCCTACAGTGCGACCCAAAATCCTTTGGTAATCCTCAGATTTCATGATGCCTTGCACACAGTCAAGGCACCCAGTGCCAGAGGCAGCAAAACAACCCCAAAACATCATTGAACCTCCACCATATTTTACCGTAGGTACTGTGTTTTGTTCTTTGTAGGCCTCATTCCGTTTTCGGTAAACAGTAGAATGATGTGCTTTACCGAAAAGCTCTATCTTGGTCTCATCTGTCCACAAGACGTTTTCCCAGAAGGCTTTTGGCTTACTCAAGTACATTTTGGCAAACTGTAGTCTTGCTTTTTTTTATGTCTCTGTGTCAGCAGTGGGGTCCTCCTGGGTCTCCTGCCATAGCGTTTCATTTCATTTAAATGTCGACGGATAGTTCGCGCTGACACTGATGCTCCCTGAGCCTGCAGGACAGCTTGAATGTCTTTGGAACATGTTTGGGGCTGCTTATCCACCATCCGGACTATTCTGCGTTGCAATCTTTCATCAATTTTCCTCATCCGTCCACGACCAGGGAGATTAGCTACAGTGCCATGGGTTGCAAACTTCTTGATAATGTTGCGCACTGTGGACAAAGGCAAATCTAGTTCTCTGGAGATGGACTTGTAACCTTGAGATTGTTGATATTTTGCCACAATTTTGGTTCTCAGGTCCTCAGACAGTTCTCGTCTCCTCTTTCTGTTGTCCATGCTTAGTGTGGCACAGACAGACACACAATGCAAAGGTTAAGTGAACGTCTCTCCTTTTTATCTGCTTTCAGGTGTGATTTCTATATTGCCCACACCTGTTACTTGCCCCAGGTGAGTTTACAGGAGCATCACATGCTTGTAACATTCTTATTTATCCGCAGTTGTGAAAGGGTGCCAATACTTTTGTCCAGCCCATTTTTGGGAGGTTTGTGTGACATTATGTCGAATTTGCTTTCTTTCCTCCCTTTTTTTGTTTTTGTCCCAATACACACAAAGGGAATAAACATGTGTATAGCAAAACATGTGTTAATGCAATACGTTTCGTGAGAAATACATGATTTCCTGGAGAAATATCAAGGGTGCCAACAATTTCGGCCATGACTGTAAGCATCCTTTCATCTGGATATGTATTTTTAGAAATAATCCTTGAATGTGTTTTTTAAATGCAGCTAGTATACATACTTCAAATCTGTCCTTATAGTAGCCTTTTGTAGTCCTCTGCATAGCAAGATTCAAGCTGTGAAGAGAAGAGCCGACAGTGTCCGACAATCAAAGCTCTTTTGCATTGCATAGGGCGGCACAGTGGCTTAGTGGTTAGCACGTCTGCCTTGCAGTAAATGGGTCATGGGTTCAATTCATGACCAAGGCACCTCCTGAATGGAGTTTGCATGTTCTCCCTGTGCTTGCGTGGGTTTCCTCCGGGTGCTCCGGTTTCCTCCCACACTCCAAAGACATGCTGGTAGGTTAATTGGATCCTGTCTAAATTGGCCCTAGTATGTGTATGTATGAATGTGAGTTAGGGACCTTAGATTGTACACCCCTTGAGGGTTAGGGACTGATGTGAATGTTCAATATATATGTGCTCTGCGTAAATTGACGGCGCTATATAAGTACCTGAAATAAATAAATAAATAAATTGCTCAGTGTTGTCAGTGTAGCACTGTGCACTTGTCTGCAGGATGGGAGGGCACAGAGGTTACATCATTAGTTTGCTGCTGCTCCTTATCTATCTAATCAGCAGGCTGAAACGGGGACACCAGTATAATAACTGTAAAAGAGAGAGAGTGGTGTCACCTCTCTGACTGATCAAAAGTGGCTGAATTAAAGGCAACATGTTTGGCAGATGGAACTGTTCATGTGTGTATTTTGCTGTGTAAGGTAAAATCAGTTTTACCAGAAAAATCTGACTCTAATCTGAACTGTTCAGTTACAGTTGGTGTCCGTGGGTTACTGCACATAACCGTGCAAAGAACAATATAAAACCCTGCCAAGCACTGACTGTATAAGCTACCCATCTGCTGACAAGTAAAGTGTTTTAAATGTCCGTTGGTTTAACAATAATTTCAAACAACGCATGTAAAACAAATTCTGTCCTTCACTTAGCTCTGATTTCTTTCCTTAGCAAACTAGCTCTGAAAATTATATGCAAGATTCCCTTATCATAACCCTGAGATATTGCTTTACCTTCTATGCATACTAATACATGCACTTAATTGTTTACATGGTGTTTGATTAAAGTTTTATATACCTGATATTAAATATCCTTTCAAGACATTAGTAGTACATGCAGGAGTTATTTTAATTAAGCAGAAGTCCATGTAGAAATAAAAGACACAAACGTTGTAGCTCTGTATCTGGTAATAAATTCTTAATTACATGCAAGCAGTGCAAGTATGTAAATATAATTTATCAGCCTTTTGCAGTCCCTGTACAGTAAAGCTTAAACACCGGGTGTGCAGCAAAAGAACCAAGTCAGTTTTGCTGCAGTGAAATGAGTGTGCTGATAGTAGAGAGAGCAGAGTGACCGAAAGATGAACTTCTCCTTTCACTGTCCAGTCACAGGCTGAGGGTGGGGGATGAGAGCTGTAAGAGTAACTGAACTGCAGTAGATCTATATATTGATGTGCCTGGGGAGAGGAAAGGGCCCTTGCTGGACCTCCGCTGCAGTGAGTAGGGCCTTTTCCCATGTTTTTACAGGGAGCCTGCTTGGTGCAGTTTTTTTTTTTTTTTAATATATATATATATATTTCCCTCCTAGTGGGTTAATCCACTGGGAACCAGATGTGACACATCCGGTCACCTGTCCAGTAGTGATAATGGGGGCTGTGGCTGATTTTGAATTTGGTGCTCGAGTGGCTTGCCTTCTGCAACTGCGTGGGCTCTGTGCCTTGCTGCTCCTCGGTGAGTTGCTCTATGATTTCATGCAGACGCTGTTGCCTTTCTGCCAAATGCTTTGTGCCTGCAACGGTTCTACAATCGTCTGGTGACTTGGAAGTAGACACCATTAACCCTTTCTGCTCTGGCAGTGAAAGTGTGAGTACCTTTGTGAGCTGTCTCTCACTTTTTTCCAATGTTGTGGATCATAAGCACAAGGGCAGTGGTCCTTGGGCCCTAGTCAGCTTGCGATCTGCTAACAGTGCCAAGGGAACTTGCAGTAAACCCTCTATAGGACCTGACACCCCAGTAGCCCAGATCACTGTCACAGCATTCCTCTGAGCCTTCCTTTAATCCCTTCAGGGGTTAACCCTTCCTCTTTATTGCAAAGATGAGAAGTTTATCTTGCTATGTCTGAGTTTAAGGGAAAACTTGCAATTATGGTAGCTGACTTAGAACGCAGGTGCATGCTTCTATGAAGCTCTCCCACAGAGTCCAATTTTGTGCAGAAACAACTGCGGCCTCAGGGAATTCAGTCAGCCAAGGAGGAGAAAGATTGTACCTTATTTATATTTGAAGATTTGTTGCACAAGGACTGTCAGTCTGTATGCATTACTCCAGAATTTAACACCATCTTCATCCCTGTTGTTGCCTGTTTCAGCTACATTTAAAATGAGTAGCCTTTGTAGTCTGAAGAGCTGTCAGACTGCTAAGGTTTCCCCTATTGCATCTGGTCCTGTATAGTGATTGGCCTAACCTAGAAAAGGTCTTTGCTCTTC